CAATTCATAAGTGGTGATCTATAATGTCATCCGAGTTAAAAGTCTAAATAATTGGGCAAACAATTAGTCACAAAAACTAGATCTTGGCAAAATGAGTAACAAGCAATCTATCTTGCAAGTAATAAGTACTACCTCTTTTTCAAAATGTGTGACGCTATTGACTTTTCATACAACATTTGATCATTCGTCTTATTTAAAAATTAGTACAAACATGTAAAAATATAAGTTACGATTATATTTTATTTGATGATAAAACAAGTCACAACAAAATATACAATATTTATATATTTTTTAATAATACGAACGATTAAACGTTATGCGAAAAGTCAACGGCATCATACATTTTGAAATGGAGGGAGTAATATTTTAGAAATTTGAAATGTTATCCAACTAGTGATGTATAAACAATACACATGCTTATTAGATATTAATAAAAATATACTAGTATTCTAGAAGGAAAAGGGAAAAATGATGAATTTTGTGGCTACCATAAAGACATGTGGTGATTTTGATCAGGGATTAATCAGTACAGCACATCATACATAGCAAAAAATTACTATGTACAATTCAGCTGCTTAGTAGCTCTACTAATCAAAATAAGCTACCTGGAGGGGACACACCTAGTTGGGCAAGGGTAGGCGCTGGCCTCCTATAGAACACACCCCCCCCCCCCCCCGCGCGGGGCGGCTGTGGCCATAATCCATTAGTTATGACGAATGCGTATACATAAGTGCTACGTAGCATGTAGGGTGCCAGTAGGATCCTTTGCTCCTTTGGATTGAAGGAAATTTAAAAGAATTTTAAAGGGTTCTAGAATTTCTCTAATATGTGTTGTTTGTAACAAAGGATTTGAGCATGTCAAATTCCTATGGATTAATTGCTATCCAATTCACCAAAATCCATAGAAAAATTTACCAGCTCAAACCGTATTTTTATTTTTCTTTGAGAAGTCCAATGCATCTTCTCTCTCTCTCTTAATTCCATCAAATTTCTATGTTATGTTCCTATGAACCATCCCAACACAACAGGTCTCATATTCCTGTGAGATTTTCCTATATGTGTAACATTCCAATCCTGTGTTTTTTTTTGTTCGTATGTTTTTTTAAATTCTGTGTTCCAAATGAGCCCTAAGCATGTTCCACTAAGTAATAAATTCATCCACACAAAGTAGTAAATGCATCTCTCATTCGTAAAATATGTTCCCGTGATACCTTAAAGTAGTAAATGCAATGGGGAAGACAACTCCCGGGTAGGTCGGGCAACCGACTAGGCTCCGCCGCTGCCATCTCCACTACTGACAGTCGTCGTTGCCTATAAAATCCATCAATCACTGAAAAACGCTATTATTCACCCACGCTCGATGATGGTGCTAGCTCCGCCACTGAGTAAATACATCTCTCATGTCGGTAAATGGCATGACGCTCGTATCACCTTAAGACTGTAGACAGTAGATTTAACGGAATACTATATATATGCCAAGTAACCTAAAGTGTATATATATGCTAAGTAACCCAAAGTAGGTTAGCATTTTGTATTCTTAGCTTCATAGGTGTCCAAGGCTTAGCTTGCAAGAATCCTAATGAATACGACAGAAAGGACTGTAGAGTGAGGGAATCGCACATGATAAGGTGTACTTTTAAGTCTTACTATATTCAGTTTTGTTAATTGCAATTTGTGTAATAATCAATATGATTTTACTCATATGACATTGGAAAGGGAAGAATATCATCACCTCTTGGACGGTGTAGCATGTTATTTATTCCCTCCCAAACACGCTTGCTAAAATGGTCCAACATGGTGCCATACTGCCATTTGTCCAAGTAATTGATTGAGCACAATAATTTTTGCAGATAATTTATGCAGCGATCAGCTGCACTGTTATTATCTCAGGTACAGATTACTAATGTTTTATATGGATATCTACTGGAAATATATCAAGAATAAAAAATCTTTGGAGTTTTTAATTTCCTTTCTAGTTAGTAGAAAAAAAAGACAATGGCATGCATATTCAATCTTTTATAAAAGTAAATTTCTGAAGATTGTGTTAATTATCTTCTCCTTGCCCATGCTACATGATTAAGTAGGCAACAAGGTTTTCTAGTCTTAAATGAAAAGAGACTCCATTTGGAAGTCTGAAGTTCTCATGTACAATAATTGCTTTAGTAATGCTTCCAATCAACGAAGGCAAGATGAATGAAAAGCAGAGTACACTGAAAAGTAGTTAGTTTGATTTATGGATTAACAGGTGCTACAAACAATGTCCAATTGGTGGCGCTAAGGACAGCACTTTTGAATTTACAGTACAGCAATACATCAACATTAAAATAACTATTTTCTAAATTTATAATAATTTCTATGGGACCTAATTAAGCTCCAGGTAAAATGATCTATTGCTGAAAGAGTTAAGTGGATGGCAGGTTGTTTGAACTGAACTACTCTCTTTGTGGTCATTTCATATTCATAATTAAGTTCTTACACTGACTTGTGCAGTTTCTGATCTTAGGAATGCAGAGGCATTGATTTGATACTGTTTACCAGTTTGCAGTTAATCTATTTCTGAATCAAAATGAACACAGCTCAATATCATTCAGAAAAATCTGAAAAACAATTCATGTTATCTGCATCATACTGCTGAAAAATCACAATACACTGTATTGTCCCATGCAGTTGCTATCGGACATGAAACAAATGGTAAACTATGCAACCTGAGCACTGAAAGGACATCACCTAAGATTGTAGGATGATTCAAATCTATACAGCATAAATTGAGCACTAAAAGACAGTACTTGGAAGGATGAACCAATGCCAACAGCATAATATGTGCCTCAAAAAGACAGTCTACCAGCAAGATATATACGACGATGAATTAATCGAAGTCTAGACAACATAGAGATGTCTACTTCTAGAATGTGTTTGAAAAGCCTATTGGTTTCAGGACCCCACAATGTTTCCCAAGAAAAAGAAAGACTTGACCTGGAAGAACAAATGGAAGAGAAGAAGATATGATCAGCTATAGACAATAAGATTAGGCCTTGTGGTGCTTGTGGTGATTGGATTATTTGTCGAAGCTTGGTGCCTTTGGCTTGAGTTCATGGACCTCGAATGATTGGTGCCTCTATGAAATGTCCCTTTCTTCCTGTACAGAAGGCCTAGCATTAGTAAGGAAAACACCTTTTTGTTTTCTGCAGAAAGTTAGGTCATAATGAGAGCTTGTGGTAACCTTACTTCTGTGGTTGTTGGCTTTGATGCATCATTCTCACAGCTACACATTGTCACCTAATGCTGAAAAACAAGCCATTCAGTTGATACAAGTGGAAAGAGGCCATTAATTATCAGAAGGTACTACTATATATTCAAGTGAAGGTACTACAGTTAAAGAAAATTAGCAGTTATCTCTGATAAGTGAAAACAAATCCCAGAACCTTGAAGATCCAAGAATGACTATAAATATGAACCCACTGATGACAAATTCATTATTATCACTACTAGCTAGTATACAGTATATCAAAGAATCAAAAGGCATATGCCTGAAGGCAAATTCAGTCGTACATGCTAAAGCTCAAATATAAATTTTGTCATGATTATGATTAAGTAAATTAACTGATCAGCAGATATCTCTATACTTTGTGGCTCGTGATTTTTATTAAATTGTGAACAAGGACTGAAGGTAGACAGAAAGACAGACTTGCCAGGCACACACACCATGTTTGGAACTGGGTCATCTGAAAACCCATAGTTTACTTAGCATCCTTCACTACTCAAAATATTATGTAATAATTTATTTCAACTTGAAGTTTCATAGGGCATGAATTTTCGAGTTTATGAGCTCAAATGCAATTACTCTCCAAAAATGTTTATATTGTAGCAATACTGTCCATGGTAAACCACTAGTATTATGTAAAGGTGTACTCTCTCGTTATCTGCGCATAATTACGTGTGATAGCTGACATATTAATGATTTTTTCGTTGTTGATTTGTCGTATGCTATTGTTCCTAGTTCTACATACATCCTGGGAAACTATTTCTTACTAAGATTTTGAATTGAAAGGTTATATTGTCGGTGATGCATCACCAATTTTTTTGAAAGAATGCATGACCAATTTTGTCTAACAGAACTTGTCTGATGTGCTACTTTGCATCCCAGCTCTCTGACACTGTAGATAAAATACAGCTGCCTAGTGGTAGGGATTCATTTAGATTAGACCAAGGTAATTAAGGAGGAGCATCCCAAAGTAGATCTATTGACTAGGTGCACTGCTGTGTTTTGCAAGGTTGTTTCTTTACCTTATCTATATACATACCTAGATAACAATGGGTGATGCAACTCAAGCAGGACTGAAGTTGTTTTCCTTAAGAAGAGTATATGACCTGAGATCTTGTTTATGACCATCATAGGATTCTAAATTTTCAATTATATGTCTAGAAGATTTGATCCAATGCACCAACTGATTACTTAAAGGCCTGAACTATTAAAGAATAGCAGGATATTACACTTCTACATCTTCTTGTGTATGCTTGACGAATTGTGACAACAAGATTCAGGATATATAGTTCTGTTGAGTAGTTTTATGTGGTAATCAATAAATATATAAAAAAATAGATATATTGAGATGCTAGAAATTGGTAAGGTACTGTGATTCCATTGATTAATTTTTCAAATTAAAAGGAGGGACTGGAGCATGCAAATCATGAACATTAGGCACCTTTTGCCGCAGAGGGGGAAAAAGGGGGAGAAAATTCATTACAGTTTCACCTTTCATGAGCAAAAGTAAAATGCTGCTTTTGATAATGTAAGAGATGAAGAGGTGAGGCCCATGTGGTAAACTTTAATTAACCCTGTGCACATGGCATCCTCTTATCTCTAAACTCATTGGAGCCCCCCCAAAACCCCCTGCCATTACATGTTGTCACCCTATAGGCAATTGGATGGACCACACACCCTTAAATATTGCTGCCATTGAGCAGTTAAGAACTCTGACCATGATGCAAAGACAACAGTTACCCTTAACATAGTGATGCAAAGGACATTAGGGACTGTGCACACACTGGTAACAGTTCACCAGAAAAGTTCTCAGTTTTCTAAGCATTAATACTCACAATTACCTTTACATCCATCCATCAGTTTCAGATAAAATATTTCCGCAGATGCATTCTTCATGGTGAGCCCTACTCCTCTCTCTTTTTCCTCCCTCTTTGTGTCAATTTCACAAATCCATTTGATAGAGATTACAAAGACCTTTGCTTTCATTGTGCAGGTTTTGTTGTTGTTGTTGTTGTAAAGGAAGTGAGAGCAAGGCTAGCTCTCCCCTTCTCCTCCATGCTTGCACCATCATGGCTTCTTTCTTCTTTAGCATCACTGCATCATTTGTGCCACTAAAGCTCCTTCCCTTGTGAGTTGTGAGCCAATTTCTTGATGCTCCCCAGCTCCCAAATGGCCATACAACTCACACTCCTACTCATTTCATGTAGCCTTTACAGTATGTATTCTTCTTCTTCTTCCTCCTCCTCCGCATCGTCGTCGTCTTCTTCTTTCTCCACATCATCCTCTTATCTTGCATTGCTGGTTCTTGTCATCTCCACTGGCCTCTCCTTGCTCTTCACCAACCTCAGACAGATGATCAGAGCAAGGAGCCACAGGGGTAAGCCTCACCCTTCCATGGAGGATCAGGCTGTTCATCAAGAGGAGGAGAGCATTATTGTGCCACAAGATGAGGTGGCCGACGATGCACCGGAGGACTTGACCGGAAGCCTATCGGAGTCTTCGGATTCTCCGGTGAGCGAAGAGTGCACCGAGGAGGGCTCGGTATCCGATGACGGTGACGATGATGACGACGAGAGCCTCATTGAGATCTCCCTTGTTGATGGCCACTATTTGGGGCAAGAGAAGAAGAAATGTGCATGGAAGGAGCAGGACCTCCTCTCCGAGTTCTTGCCGGATTTGTTGCTTGACAAGAGGGACTTCATGGACATCTTGTCAGAGATTGGTGAGGAAGACAACCTGATTGAGATTGACATTGCAAGGGGATCCATCAAGTGCTCAAGCTTTGGCATCAAGGCATGAATCTACCAAAGGTTTGGTGAAGTTCAAAATCAAAATCTTTCTCTGCATTTGCTTCAAAGATTTGATCAGGGAAAGGGGAGTAGGTTGTATGTACCTGGCCTACATGTTGTGCAAGGCTCTTTGTTTTTGGCAAAGCTTAAATTTTTATTTTGTGAATCTTCAGTGGAAGCCTTGTTGCGTCTTTTTCTCGCGCTTTCTTTCTGAATATTATAGAGGAAATAACATTCGTGCACATATTTTTGATCAAAGAAAAAAACAATGTACGTGTGCATGGCCCTTCTTTCCGTATATATTCTAGAGTTCCAATAGATGCTAATCATCAATGCTCTGCACCTGTGTCTACTGATTGTCCCACTGCAAGGATCATCTATCACCAAGTGGGCTATATGTTTGATTAATTTTGATTTTACCATGTAAAAATAGTTTTAGCTAAATGTGAAAATACAAACCATCAAATTAGTTAGTTAACCACTTTAAGTGTATTCTTGAACTACCTGATATGATTTAGAATTAAGTTCAGCTTCTGTCCTGAATCAAAAGCTCAACATTTGTTCAGTAAAAAGTGTTCTTCCATGGTTCAAAGAATCCAAAATTGGTTTGTTTAATTTGTGCAGCTGGGTCCTTTTAGCCGCCTGATGTTTGATTTTGTAAAAAGGCTACAAAATCTTCATGATTTGGGCCTCCATTATGAGCTTCTAATAATGCTAAGTATGAGCCCTAAACTATTGCTACCACCAGGCCAACATGAGCTGATTAAGAAACATGGTAGGCTCAGAGACCTCTTGTTTGTGGCAGTTACCAAGGCATAATAAGAAACCTTTGATGGATTATTCTTTCAGTCATTCAGTGTGTTTAGGTGACAGAAAGATGCTCACATATATTTGCTTTTCTCTGAATATATCTTTGGCATTCTCTTTCTCCTTTCTCCTTGTTTACAGCAAAAAAAGGAAAAGAGATGGCATCAGTGGCATTGTGGCTTGAAAAAGATGTTTCAGACTTGACTGAAAGTGTGAGTTGCAGTGTTTGATTCAGTTCATATTCCTTAATCCATCAGTTGCTACTAAACATGTAATCTGATGGCCTTGCTAAAAGCACTTAAACATGTGGCCTGCATGTCCAGTGATGAACACTAAGATCAAATCAATCAATCAAAGCATAGCTTCTTTTGATGCCATGTATACTACCAGCAATAGGAAATTCAGAAGTACAGAAACAAAAGTAGTAGGTAGTATCTGTATGCAATTGAATTCTGAATTTTGACCTCCTGAACTCTAAATTTAGGATATGTTGTAGACATTTCAAGCTATCAACCTGAACTCTGAATTTAATTGTGACCACCTGAAGAACTGCTCTGTATTCTTTTCTCTTTTTTTCGCCAGGCACCTCCTCTGTGTTCTTCATGAGTAAAAGATGGTGTACAACCTATGAATTTCTGAACTTTGCTGCTTTCATCAGCGTTCAGTACTAGAGTTACAGGCGAAAAATCAGCTAAATTGTTCCTTTCACTTTTTTGAAAGAAGGCAAGGGCTTTGCATTAGCAAATCAATAGAGGAGGAGGAAATTTATGTACAAGAAAAATCAACTAAATTGAGGTGTAACATTAGTGTGAAAAAAGAAAAAACCATGCGAATATTCAATATATGCTAAATTAACTTGATGCAATATGAAGGTCAAAATGAAAATTACACAACCTATTCTATGCACAAGGAAAGATAAAAATGATAGGCAGGTTTAAATCAAATGCTTCATTGAGAAAAGCATACCTAGGTCTTACGATTCCGAGATGACCTTCCGTTCCAGGCTTTGGCGGTATGATGGTTTTCGCGAAATTTGGTGGAAAATTGGTAGATTTCGAACAAATTTCATAAACCAAAATTTAAATACAAATTCCCTGAGTTTACCGATATGCTCGCGAAAACCGATCAGTTTTAGTGAAATTCCGAGCGAAATCATCAAAATTCCAAGCGAAATCAGGTGCAGGACCATATCCCCTCTTTATTCTATTATCTGGGCTAATTACTAAGTGGGCCTACTACATAGAATTCGGTCTAGGAAAGTGTTTTCCTTTTTTAAAATTGTTATTCTTTTCTTTCCTATTGTAAAGTCCAAGAAATACACGGAATAACCAATTTTTTGGAAAATTTATATCCAAATAGGTTCTATGAATATCACTATTTAGAGTAAATTTTAGAAAACTGCAACTTTAGTGATAAGACTATCAGTTTGCTGCAACATTAACGACATGTTTCTGTTTACTACAACATTTTTTTTGAACTGATTTTTTTTTGAACTGAGTTTGCTGCAACATTAGCGTGGGAAATTATCACAAAACTGCAACTTTTACGTTATATGCTGCTACAGTACATATAAGTGTGACAACTGTAGCAGCATATAACGTAAAAGTTGCAGTTTTGTGATAATTTCTCACCCTATTGTTGCAACAAATTGAAACATGTCGCTAATGTTGCAACAAATTGATAGTTTTGTCACTAAAGTTGCTGTTTTCTGAAATTTACTCTACTATTTATAGGGTTTTATTTATTTTTTCCTTTTCTTTATCAATTCAAATTTGATTTTGGATGAAACCTATCGAAATTCCAGACGGCTTCCACTTTCGAGCCACATCGAAACCTCAGTTTTCCGTGGAATTCGACTGGTTTTCGTCGGAATTACATACCAAAAATTCTTCATCTCCACAACACATGCACAATCATAGTATCATACTGAACAACAAATCAAGTTCATTCAATATCACCTTTTCAGAAACTATTCAACTTATTTACACTCACATACATCACAAATACACAGCTTTTTTGTTGAGTTTTGGAACAAATTTACATGGAAATGCTAATGGGCGAGCGATCGCCCTCGCTCGCCCAGAGCGATCGGTTCCCTACCCCTCCCCCTCCCCCTCTCCACCTGGTTTCCTTTTTTGGCACCGCATTACTTTCCTATTTTAGTAAATTTATACACCTAAAGTTTATACACCTTAAGTTTACACATCTAAAGTTTAGAGACCAAAAGTTTATATATCCGATTCAAATTTGACTTTGAATTCAAATACTTTTTATATATAGTATTTCTATACATCCAAAGTTTATACACCTAAAGTTTATAGACCTAAAGTTTATATATCCGATTCAAATTTGAATTTGGATTATGTCCGATTCAAATTTGAATTTGAATTCAAATATCCGATTCAAATTTGAATTTGAATTCAAATATTTTTCATATATAGTATTTCTATACATCTAAAGTTTATACACCTAAAGTTTATAGACCTAAAGTTTATATACCCGATTTCAAATTTGAATTTGAATTATACCTGATTTCAAATTTGAATTTGAATTATATCTGATTCAAATTTGAATTTGAATTCAAATTTCCGATTTAAATTTGAATTTAAATTCAAATATTTTTCATATATAGTATTTCTATACCTCTAAAGTTTATACACCTAAAGTTTATAGACCTAAAGTTTATAGATCCAAAGTTTATAAGTCAAAAGTTTACGTACCCGATTCAAATTTAAATTTGAATTCAAATTTTTTATACATAAATTTTTCTAATCTTTTGTTTTTTTTTTAAATTTTTGTGTGGTGTACTGTAATAGGAAAAGAAGGGGGGAGGAAGGGGAGAAAGGAGGGGGGCGGGACCGATAGCTGGATCGCTCGCCGAGCGATCGATCGCCCATCAGGCGCCCCCAAATTTACATGCATCAGAAATCAAACAGGCAGTATTATGCAGTTATACACAGATCACAAAGCTAATTAAGCTAGCCACGGATGGGCTTATTGGGGTGCAAGCTAAAGATCCCTCCCCTGTACCCGCCGCCAGCGCCGCCGCGGTAGCTCACCACCGGCCCGTCGCCGCCGCAGCAGACCTCCTCGCCGTCGGATCCTCTCCGGCGGCGGCGCCCGCCGCAGGCAGAGACGCAGCAGCAGCAGCAGAGGACGAGGACGAGCACCACGACTAACGCGGCAGGGAGCGCGACGGCGAGCGCCGAGCGCGCCCGCCCCGCCGCCGCGTCCGCCCAGCCCCGGAGCCACGCGGCGAGCTCCGGGAGCGCGGCGGCGAGGTAGCGGAGCAGCTCGTCGAGCCTCTCCCTCACGGCGTCCCACGGGAGGAGCGGCCCGTCGTCGCCCTCGTCGCCGCCCATCACGGCGGCCGAGATGAGCGCCTCCCGCGCTCCGGCCAGTGGCGCGGCGAGCTTTCTCGCCGCCGCCATGGCTCGCCGGCGGTGTGCACTTGGCGCCCTGGCCGATGCTGCTGCGCCGTCGTCGTCGTCGTCGCCCTGCTGTTGGGTTTGTGCGACTTTGTTCGAGTGGCGAAACTGGCGATCACCGCTGATTAGTTGTAAGAAAAAGAGAATTATATTTTAAAATGTTGGTAAGAAATTTAAAAGTTTCATTTTTTTTTCAGAAATACAATAGTAGGCGCTCACAACGAACGCATACTCACTCCTATAAATACACACGTGTACCTTACCTCTACAAGCACTTCAGGAAAGACCGGGCCGACATGTCTTACGAGCGTCACACTCACTCCTATGAATACTCACGTACACATTACCCATATGAATATCTAAGAAAGATTTGACCAACATGTCTTACGAGTGCACACTCTCCGAACACACGCACACCCACGTCGTATACACTGAAAGAATAAAATAATAATTAACCGTAAATGCGAGCACCTGTGTCAACTCTAGTACTTAGTGATGGAACCAACCTGGTTGAGATTGGATATTGCTTCGAGTTTAAATAATCAACCTTATAATTGAGTATAACTGGAGAACACACGTAGTATTATCCTAAATCATCGAATGCGCATGGTTTTGCAACTTAAACAAAACAAACCGTTAATAAATGCGATTTAGAATTCGGACAAAGTTCATTGACCAAAAATGGATTTAGATCAAAGCAATTAAGTATTGTGGATCGACCAATCAATTAATCAATTAGACTGAATTGCGTCGATCATTTGTTTCCTTGCAAGCGTCAGCATTACATGGGAGTCAGAAACCAGTGGCAAATTCAAGCCAAGAATTGCCACTGGTTTTCGTTCTGCTGCCCAGACCAGCACAAACGCACAACAGCACGCAACTGCACATATATAACTGACAAGAACAACCAAAGCCCGGTTTAGATGGCAAAAAAAAAAATTGTTTTGGAATGTTACATCGGATATACGGACACATATTTAAAGTATTAAACGTAGTCTAATAACAAAATAAATTATAGATTCCGCCAGAAAACTACAAGACGAATTTATTAAGCCTAATTAAATGTTTACTGTAGCATCACATTGTCACAT